TTACACAAAGTTAGACGTGTAAAGCCTCAACAAAATATTAGTGAAGTGAATCTAGCAATGAATGAATTATACATCATAATTAAAAAATAAGATTCTTTTCATGTATGCAAGACTAGTTCAATATTTGAAAATCAATCCATGAAATCTGTAATGTCAATAGGCCAAAAAAAGAAAACACACAAATTTTATCAAATGACCCACGAAAAAAGTAGCTAATAAAATCTGATACCTCTTCCTGGCCAAAAACATGCTAAGTAAGGACAGAAGAGAATTTCTCCAATTCGATTTAAAAAAAAAAAAAAAAAAATCTATAAGCAACAGTTAACATTTTTAGCAGTAAAAGACTGCACATTTCTTCCCTAAGCCTGTCTTATCATGCTTACTCAAGTTTGGTATTATTGGTTATAGCCAGCACAATAAGGTTAAAAAAATTTACTATGTAGATTAGAAATGAAAATATAAAACAGTTTCCTCTTTGCAAATAACACAACTGTCTATGTGAAAAAGAAGAAATCTACAAAATCAAAAGAACTTCTTAGAATAAGGTTTTATTCAGCGAAGTTTCATGTTATTACAATACACACACACACACACACACACACACACACACACCCCTTGCATTTATGTTATCTATTTATGTATCTAACCACAAACATTATGTGGAAACTGCTCTAAAGAAAATGATCAGGATCGATGTGCTTGAAGACTTCAAAATACTAAAAAGAGAAGCAAGACCTAAACAAACTGCTCTGCTCACTCATCACAAATCTGAAAGATACAAATTCTTCTCAAACTTATCTACAAGTTTGATGCAATTTTCATCAAAAGGTGGGGCATTTAGCCCAGAGAAATAAAAATATCTTCTATCTTCACATTAAAACTATACACAAATATTCATAGCTGCTTTTTTCATAACAGCCAAAACCTAGAATAATCTAAATATCCCTCAATGGCCAAACTGTACAACATTCATATCATGGACTCAGCAGTAACAAAAAATAAACTATCCAGGAACTTCAAAGGACCACAGGTGCTGTTCTACATAGAAGTGACAATTTTAAAAAGTTACATACTATATGCTTCTGTGACATGTCATATGACATTCTTGAAATAGTGTAATTACAACTACCTAGGCTTGGGTGGTAGAGGTGGTGTGGGCAGTTATAAAGATGTAGCATGAGGGAGCTTTGTGGTAGTTTGTCTTTACTGTGGTGATAGTTATATATACTATGTGTGACAAAGCTGTACAGAATTACATACACACACAGAGCAAACACCACCTCAGGGGAATGCACCATGGATCTAGCGAAATATGAGCCAGCCTTGTGGTATATCGATGTCAATTTCATGGTTCAGACACCATTATAATTATGTAAGATGCTAACATTAGAAAAGGCAGAACAAAGGGCATATGGTACCTCTTGATTTTTTTCAAATTCTTATTAACCTGTAATAAAAAGGCAAGTATACTAACAGAAAATCATTTATAACCCTGGGTATATGTTTTAAGAGACTAAACTATTTTCTTACAGAACCAAAATGTATTTTCCATAATATTATTATTATTATTATTATTATTATTACTATTGTCTTTTTTGTTTTTTATCAGTACTAGGGATCGAACTCACGACTGCCTGCTTGCAAGGCAGGTGCTTATGCCGCTGAGCTAAATCCCCAGCCCCTAATATTTTATTATTGATTAAAAGAAAACCTGGGTATTTTTTGCAAGACTAACCTTATGAGGATCTATTGGTAAAATTCTTTGTCCCACTGATTCCTCCTAATATTTTTCCCTTTATTTTTAGGACAAAGAAACATCTAGCTGTATTTCAAATATATGTGCGCATCTTAGAAAGATAAGTTTCACATCACTGCAATAACTACATAGGTAATAATTGCAAAGATTTGCAATGCTGTGTTTATCCAAACATGTGACAGGCTGTGCTGTAATACTACTATGAAGAAAGACAGATGAGATGTGCTTCAGAAGGAAGACAGTTGCATTTGACTGTCACTACTGCCAATCACTTCTGTTTTGGGATAGGTTCAACTAACCAACCAACAAGTGTTTTGTCCAAATGAGGACAAAACCTTCTGTATTTTTCCCTAATTAGGGGGATTGGAGCAATGGAAAAGAAAAGGGACATCAGGAGCAGAGAACAGCAATCAGGATGACACAAGAGTGTGTTTTATACTGTTCAGCTGTAAAAGAAATTGGCAGAAGAGTAACAAAAATGAATCTCTGAAAACCACCTAATTCATTTAAATGAATCAAAATTAGATCTAAACCATAAGTGGAATTCTATCCTGACCTTTGGCAATCAACATCAGGTAAGAAGTCTGGTAAAGACTGAGATACAGTATCATCAGTGTACATTATACAACAAGGTCAGTCAGTTTAGAGGAACTAGAAAAGCTGGAGTATAATGGATGCAGGTGAGAGAAGAGTTGAGAGAGCGAGCAGTGGCGGAGGATGGCATTCGGCTCAGACAAGGGAACAATCCAGATATGTAATGTGTTACAAAATGCAGCATTAGAAGACACAGAAAATGTCAAGAAACTGTCATTAACTTTAAGCTCCAAGCAATCAGGAACAGGGCTGTCCTTGCAACATAGATTTTGTATAAAAAAAATTTTAGAGAAGCGAAGGAAAGGAAATTAAGGACAATACCTGCATTGGACTAAAAACTAGTTATCAGGAGACTGAGACAAAACTGCAATTGACAACTATATACCCTGCAAGTTGGTAATAGCAAAGAAAAAAATCTATTGCTCTGTAATTAGATATGGAACAGTAGTTTTAAATATAAGTACTAAGTATGTTATGTTATAAATCATGACTACTGTGACAAAAGAGAATTTTAACATGGATGAGTGCAGAAGGAACTTTTGAATAATTTTTTTTCTCTTTTATATATGCACTTTTAGTCAACCATATAACCAATAAAAAAAATTAAAATGCTGACTTCAGTAGTTAATCCCTACCTATAGAGTAGTGATTTGAAATATGATAACAGATACAGTAAGTACAAATGAAATAAACAAGTACTATAATAATCTATAATATTTGTAAGATTTTATTTGGAAACAGGACACATTTATTTTCTCACTTCATGTAATTTAAGCTTTGATTCTAACTATATGCTATTTTAAAACACATTACTGGTGACTGAAAGAACAAGACTAAGAAAATAAACTAAGTGAAGTCACTAGGTATATGACTATGATAATAAGCTTAAGAGGATCCAAGAAGGACCTCGATGAAATGAAGCTGTGTACTCTGTTATATTTTTTCCTACTAGATGTAATAAAATAATAAAAGACACTGAAGTAAAAAAGATACAAAAGTAGCATTTATCATTTAAAAATTAAAAATGTATACATCTATATGAAGGGGAAGGAGTTCATAAAGATCAACACACTGGGGGACATAGCTAAATTACACATCTGTTTACTAATGCTCCTGTGAACACTGGACACAAAGGTCCTTTACATATGAATTGCTATCCACACATAAAGGAAGGTAGACTCTCCTATCAGCTCAAGAAAATAAGAAGGTTCTCCTTCTGGACAGTTAAAAAAACAGTAAGTTTTAGGAATTGCTCCATGTTCCGTTTGCACTGCAGAAAACAATCATGTGCAGAAAATTGCATTTTAAGTGATTAATTTTGTTGAATAAACTCTGGAGTCACAGGCATTAGTGTGTACAAAAGCAGATACTTTTTTGAGTTTGTTGTGGTTGGTTTTGAATTTTTAATACCATGCCTAAAAGAGTGAGTATATCAGTGTTAGACATGTAGTGGATGTTCAATAAATTCCATTGAGCGAGTGAGTGCACATATGGGTAGGTAGCATTGAAGGCTTAAAAAGAAGGGATGAGATTACCTAGAGGGATTGTAGATAGCACAGCTGAAAAATTATATATACATGTGGAAAGAGACTGAGGAACGATGCAGGTAAATCAGGAGGAAAATCAAGAGGTTATTCTACCAAATAAACCCATATAAAATAATTTTTCAGTGAAAAAGTGGTTACTTGCATCAAGTGCTGTTGAAGTACACAGTGCTGAAGAGTATAAAGCAATAATGACAACAACACCTCTGATAAACATACAAAATCACAAGCAGGGGTAAGGAATATAGCTCACTTTCATAGGAAGGAAGAGAATATGGGTATAGATGTAGACAGGTTGCTACGATTTTGTAGTGGGAATGCAAGGAAGTTCCCAACAGCTCTGGTTTTGTTTAAGGAATTACGAAGCAAATGTCAGCTGGGAGTTAAAAGTCAATGAATGCTATGACAGAATACAGAAGGTTTTAAGGGAATGTAAAGGATGGACACACCCACACAGTGTAGAGATGAGTATAAAAGGTTTACACAATGAATAGGAATTATGGGGAGGGGTAAGAGAAGTAAAAACAGCATCTAAGATGTAGAAATGTAAGGGGTCCAGGTAGAGACTGATAAAAGTTAGAGATCAGCAGATGCTGAAATTAAGAAGAGTTAAAGAGACCAAAATTTGTCATGAGACACTTACAAGTAGCCACTGAGAAGTGTAACATATATTTATTTTGGTGACATTCACACATTAGGTTAAGGAAAACTTTTTAAAATTTAAATATGTAAGTAAATTTAAATATATAAGTATATACTTATATAAGTATATTTAAATATATAAGTATAAATATATAATATGTAAATAAATATCTAAGTATTAAGATGACCCTGTGTTCATATGTGATTCTCGGGACTGGACAGGTAGTACAGCTTACAGAATGCAGATTCAATCTAGAGCCCAAATTTTTGTACACAACTTCCAGTTATGTCACTTAGCTGTGGCTGTGGACAGCACTTTACCTGTGTTTCAACGTCCTTATTTTTAAAATGATATTTTAATGGTGAAGAAATAAAGTAACACCATTTCAAAGGCTACTTTAAAGACAGTAGATGACATGATGTTCTGAAATATTAGCTTTTGCTGCTTAAAGACAGAATTTTACCTGCTTTTTTATGGCATAATTTTCACCATCCTCAGCTTTCATTTTTTCAATCTTTTCTTCTTGTTGTTTTGCTTCTTTTTCATACATCGCTTTTTCTTTGACCAATCTATAAATAAACCAAAAATATATCACAGAATTAGCTTTTTCTCTAGAGAATAAACTGGAAGAAATAAAGCATGTAAATATAAAACATATTTAAAATACTAAAGTCAACAGACTCCATGTAGCAGACAGAAACAAAATATATTACTTATAGATACAAGTGTGATAATTCTTGTGCTCTAAAGTCTATGTGACTAAAGCTAGTATAAACTATCAAAACCAGAAAATTTCTATTTTTAAAATTAAAAACCCATCACACTATATTTACAACATGAAAACAACATTCAAAATTATTCTGTTCTAACACTTCTGTCTTGCCTTCATTTTGTTATGAGAGTTGAGATATAGTTCTGCAGCACAGCACCCACCTGGCAAGTACAAGGTTGTAAGTTCGAGTCTCGGTAGAAAAAAAGTTCAAATTGCATTTTGTATTATGTATGTGGTTCTGGGGATTGAACTTGGGGCCTGTCTGATGCTAGGTCAGGAGTGTTTCCATGAACTACATTTTTATCCACTTCCTCCATCTTGCTTTTTGGAGACAGCGCTTCACGTTCCCCAGGCTGGGCTGAATTTGTAATTCACTTGCCTCAGCCTCCCAAGTAGCTAGAATTACAATCATGTACCACCACTCTTGACCCATGTTGCTTGTTTTATTGATGTTTTTCCAAAATCTTATCTAGGTACTTGAAACAACATACTGTAATATATAAACATTTACTTTACTGGAGGGAAAAAAACAGTATACTATATGCCAACTCCCAAAGATTAGACTATTTTCAACAAAGTTATTTAAGAAATATTTATGTACTTCCTGTTAAGCCAGACTTTCCCTGTCCAAGGGACTAGGACAGACAATTTATATGTGATTGTCTCACAGACAAATAGAAGAAACAAACCAGTATGTATTTACTAACACAAGAAAAAGGACTGATATACATCAGGAAGATTTTAGATTATAAAGAATAGTGCCATAAAAAAATTGTGCCAAAAAAGTTCACTGACTATTCTTGAGATAATCAAAATTCAATTAAACGTAACAAAACAATCTTCCCTAATTCTAGTTTTTTTTTTTTTTTTTTGTCTTTTTCCTTTTTATCGGTACCGGGGATCAAACTCACGACTGCCTGCTTGCAAGGCAGGCGCTTATGCTGCTGAGCTAAATCCCCAGCCCCCCTAATTCTGGTTAATCAAAGTTTTAATATAAATGAAAAGTTTACCCCAAGAAAATATTAATATTCCTATATACACACTACCTCAAGAGCAAAAGAGGAAGCATACTGAGTACAGACACACTATAAATTTTCTCTCCGTGGGGTTGCTTGCTTACTTTATATACACGTTTGCTGGAACAGAAATCAAAATCCTATTTAGGGCATGGTGGCTTTTGTGTAACTATTTACAATGGAGATTTTTTAGAGCAATTTACTTTTTATATTCTAAGTAGACTTAATACAAGTTTACAAATCTTTAAAGCAAAGCAACACAAAACAAACTGCTCCCTCCCCTACACTCCTGTTATAGTCCTGTAAGGATTTTAAGTCTAGATACTAAATACTAAAATACAAAATGTTCCAGTTCAGAACTTTGGAGTACGCTAGGCAGGCTCACCTAACACTTCAGGATCATGTATTACTTCTAAAGATGGAAGAAAATATAACAAAACATAAACAAGATAACCAATAAATATGATCTATATGTATATGGCCCTCATACACTTATACCCTAAAATTATCTCCAAGTGAAAAAACTGAAGTTCAAACCAAGTTATAAATGTTATGCTGCCATCATAATTATAAACAACAAAGAAGGATACTCAAAAAACAAATTAAAAAGGAACATGTAAAATTAATCTTTGAGTCCTCAAAAAAAATAAGTCCTAAAGGTCTGGGAGAAGAAAAGTTATCTAGGGAGTAAATTAAAAGCTTCTACTGTCTTTCAAAATGTGCAAATATTTCATTTTCCGAAAAAGAGGTCCTAAGGTTATCTGAGTAGACTTTAGTTGTACTTACGGATTTCTGGAATAAACATTCAATTAAAAAGACAATGTACCTAGTAGCTGTAATACTCTACATGCTCTTTTGCAAATGCTATTAGTTTAAAAAAAGTGGTAAAAAAACAAAAAATGGTAAAAAATCATAATAGAATGATATGTATAAAAATACTGTATCATGGATATTTTCAAGCAAAAATTACAGACAAGAGTAGCATGATAAATACCATGTACCCATTACTCAGCTTTAAAGAAGCTAGTATTTTGGCAATCTTATTTCATCTGTTTCCTATCACTCTTTAAAAAAAATTCTCTCTCTCCTTCTTCTGAATTCAAACTCACTCCCAATCCTCCGCTATGATCATTTCTGGCAAATGATTTACCACTGAACTACATCTACAGCACATTTGGTTTGATTTTTGAGGTTAAAAAGTCTGTATTTCCCTTGGTCCTTATACCATGAACAAAATATTAACCCAAAACGCACTAAAATCTGAAAATGAGAGCTAAAATGATGAAGACCAGAGGGAAATATTGCTGGTTTTGGGATGGACAATAATCACCCCCTCCTTTTTTTGGTCTTTTCTGAGACAGGGTCTCACTAGCAGTCCAGGCTGGCCTTGAATAATCTTTGTAGTCCAGTGTGGCCTACAACTCCCAATGATCCTTCTGCCTTAGCCTCCCAAGTGCTGGGAATACAGGTGTGCACCACTATTCCCGGCAATAAATGATACCAAAAGCACAAACAACAACAAAAAAATAACTGGTTTTCATCAAAATTAAAAATATTTGTGCTTCAAGGGACACTATCAAAGGGAGAACACAAAGAGAAAATACTTGCAAATAATGTATCTACTAAGAAAGTGTACCCCCAATATACAGATAAGTCAATGACTAAAAAAAAGAGCTAAAAAGTAGGCAAAGGATCTCAACAGGCATTTTTCTAAAGCAGTTATATACCTACGCAATAAACACACAAAATATGTTCAATATCATGTCATGAGTGAAATGCAAGTCAAAACCACACGAAGATTGTGCTTCACACCCATCAGAATGGCCACAATCAAAAAGTCAGATAATAAATAACAAGTGTTAGCAAGAATTCAGAGAAACTGAAACCACCTAGTGGTGCTGGTGAAACTGGTACAGCTGCTTTATCCCTCAAAGAACAAAGAGTTATATACGCCCACAAATGAGTTACTGTACACCCAAACAATTCTACTCCGAGGTATACACTCTAGAGAAATGGAAACAAAGATACACAAAAAACTTATGTCTAAAAAGGTTCATGACAGCATTATGCATAACAGGCAAAATATAGAGATAACCCCAAAGTCTGTTTACCAAAGAATAACCAAAATGTTACTCATTCAATGAATAGAATACTATGTGGCCATAAAACAAAATATGGATTCAAACTACAACATGAACCTTAAAACACTCTTAAATATAGTCACTCTGCTCTGTAAATAGTGCATACTAAAAAGCAATGAATTGTAGACTTCAAATGAGTGAACTGTGAGAATGTGAATCGTATCTCAATAAATCTGTTACCAAAAAGGAAAAGAAGTTTGTAACCACCAAGTCAGCTGCAGGGGAAGATCTGAATACTAATACATCGCACACAACTGAATGAAAGAGTATTATATGGAAAAATCCATAGTTTATTCGTAGTTAAGAATTTTAAAAATTAAATGAAAATATTTTCCATCTGAGATTCAAAATAAAACCACAATTCCATGTCACTACATACATGTGTCTAAAGTTCCCTTGAATTGGTGCAAGAAATTTCAATTGTCAGTCTGCTTCAGCAAAACCTAAGTGGTTTTGTTTTTCAGTGCTGAGATTTGATCCCAAGGTCTTTGTCATGCCAAGCAAGTGTTTTATCACTGCTAAATAAAATCCCATCCAAATGACACACAATGTTAAAAAAACAAAACAAAACAATACAACATACAAAGAATAAAAACAAAACAAACAAGGATGAAGAAATCTGTTCCTATTAAAAACCTGCTGGCCTGGCATGATACTTGCTGCGTGCCTGTAATCCCAGCACTCACTCAGGAGGCTGAGACTAGAGGATCACTGTGAGTTCAAGGCCAGCCTGGGCTACATAGTGAGTTCAAGTCCAGCCTGATTTGCATATCAAGACCTTATCTCAAGCAACAACAACAATAGCTACTAAAGTCAACATCTCTAGCTTGTCTTGGATGCTTTCATTAGGGAACACAGAGGATAAATTTCTACTACTGGCTGGTACTAACTGAAGACTACATGTCCCTTCCAGATGGGTCAGTGTTACCTCATTTTGTTCCAACTCAAACTCCCTCTGCTTTTTTCCAGACACTTAGACCATATATACTTGGTTCCTGTAAACATCTGTGTTTTGGGCTTGGGTGCTGCAAGGCACCCAAAATTTAAGCTTTCATTTGCTTATAACTGTTTAAATAGTGAATTCTGGCATATTATTTTTTTAACTAAAACAAATATCAATTGGTGGACAACTATTGCAGTAGTCTGATTTACTATTTATACTTTGTATTTTATTTTATGGTTTTGGAACAGGAGATCGAATTCACAATCTTGCATTTGCCAGGCAGGTTTGTGTCACCGAGCTATATGCCCGGCCCCCCTATACTTTTTATTAATGTAGTTTACTACATTAGTAGGAAGTCTTAAGTGTTACAAACACATTTATTTTAAAACTATTTCCATATGTGTGTGTGTGTATAGTTATTTTAGTTTCTCACTAGTGGGATGTTTACATGTATGTCTTACTTATTCCACTTATGAGTATGGTCTCAAGTTGCATCCATTTACCTATAAGTCTCCAATTTATACTTCTTCATAGCTGAGTAGTACTCCATTGTATAAAATGCCACATTTTTTCCCCCACTCCTCAGTCGATGGGCATTTAGGTGGTTTCCAAGATCTAGCTAATACAAATTGTGCTGCAGTAAACATGGATGTATATATCATTGTGGTATGTATGTATCATTGTGGTATGATGTCTT